AGGCTATAGAACCGGAGAACAAGCAGTAATTCTACCAAACGTGGATCTATTTAGACCGGAAAAATTAACAAGGTCAGTGCTTAAGGGAACCTTGTTAATGATGACGCACGGAGCATGGATTAATGACTGACCTTCGGTAGCATGTCATACATGAATTTCTGTCCACCAAACCCTGGCTCGACTGTCATAATAAGCACCATGTCCACGCTGTCCACGAACGGGAGGATTTCGACAACTGGAGTTTTTGGTTTGATTCCCAAACCGACCTGAAGGTTTTTGAAAGGGGAATGCTCGGTCAATTGAATTTGCACCTGTTCCAAAAAAGCCTTCTTTCTTACATACACACACGTGGTGTGGGTCGCGGTTAAAAAACAACCTAAACAACTAAAGTAATTTATCAACGTCAGATAAAATATAACATTAAAAACAACATAGTCCTGAAATGCATTCAGATAACAATATACCGATTGAAAACCAGATTACAATACCTTGATATGGAGTGGACAACGACAAGAGTATTTTTTTAAAGAATCGATTAAAAACCATATAGATGGGTTCACAAAGAAGCCAGTGAAGACAGAGGAGTCCAGAAAATGGAAAAATGCATTTGGTTTCAACTCCCAGCTCCACAGTCACAAATTAGCTGCGCATGTTTGTATCTATAAGTGCGTGCTATCTCGTCTTTCCTTCCGCCCATGCTGATTTTTTCATGAGGATACGATGGATTGTTTTTCTGCCCTCATGGAGGAATGAAGAGAGAAAATCAAGCGGACACAAGGGAACCTACTACGGTTACCAGCACCAAACTCTTGTTTCGTTTGGGATGCATAGCATAATGCTACTGGGTTTTTATTTCCATGATGCCATAATTATTATGGAACATTTTACTTTCAGTTACTTTCAACGTTGGTGACCCAATATATCCAATCATTGGACCCAGAGTGAAGATAGAGGATTCATTTCCACTAGGATGACGCAGCTGCTTGCGGGCTGTGAGACCTTGGTATGGCAAAACATTCCCACAAAAATGGATCGACAGAAGAAGAAAGAAAATATCACAGTTGAATTGCAAAACATCCGCTTGATGAAGCCATGAAGGTTTATGAGTATAGTAAAGCGATTGATTGTTTTTTGAGTATTGGCTATAATCACTAACGGGTGTTTCCATTTCGGTGACCAAGTGAAAATGTTTATTTTTCATGAGTGAACAGAGAATATGTCTGTTTAGGAGCGGTTGAACTGCAACCAATAACAGATTGCGAGCACTACTAACGGATGTCACCGAAGTCATTGAAGCAGTAAGATGAAATCAAACCACCAAACACTGGATGGTAGAGATAAACCTCAAGCTGTTAGGAGAAAACTGAGTGCACTGATACAAACGGTGCACATATCCCAAAATTGAAAAATTTAAATTTGAAGTGTTCAACGAAATAAACGTATAATGGATAAGCATGGGAATGAAGTAAGACGTGCGGATTCCTATACATTTCAGTTAAGTGTACTGGCCACCGTGCTTAAATGAACCAATTGAAGGCTACTATTCAAGAGAATCAATATGTTAGTCTGATCAACAGACGTGTACAATGCATTTCCGCCCACGTATTTTCTTCACTGTTTCACACTGCTAGATTCTGTGCCCTTGGTCAAACAGTCAGTAGATCCCCGGGCTGTTTTTCTTCTTTTTAATTTTATTATTGTCCTATAACAAAGTGTATGCCCACCATTATTTGATTCACCCCGTCATGATTTCACGAACTGCTATATTACTTGTAGGCACCATTTAGGATGGGAAGGATGGTTTTCCAAATGGATGCCTAAGACTTTGGGGCACGACATACTTCGCGATAGCCCACACCGATGAAGGGGTTTTTCTTTGGGAACCCTAATCGGAGCCTTTGACTCAAAAGTCTAACCCGCAAGGCGAGCCAGTTCTGCTATATGGAGTAGAAACTTGGCCATTAAGAAAACAAGATAAAGATAAACTGTCGGTGTTTGAAAATCGCTGTCTACGCAGCATTACACGAATCTGATGGGGCAGCCGGACGAGCAATGCTGAGGTTAGGCGCAGAGTTTTAGACAACCGCGATCGCCCATTGGAGCAAGTGGTCGACCTCCATAGATTACGTTGGTTGGGATGTGTTGCGCAGGTCACTAAATAGGCTGACACGGCGAGCGATGTTTGCCGAGGATGGTAGCGGTTGAAAAAGGGTCAAGGATGGTCAAACGAAGACCCGGCATGAGGGTATGAAAACCCTAACCAGGATACTAGGTCACACAGGTCCCGTTAGGCTCCCTGGCTAGGGACCTCGGGATGGTCAGAGACAATGAGTGATATGGCTGGGTGTCGTATACAGTGGCGTTCGTGCAGCTTCACAATTTTCCTGCTTCATCAGTCCACTGCACTTTTCAATTTTCTCCTCGATCCTACTTTCAACCTTCCTGTTTTCCTCTTATTGTCCACCCAAATGGGCAGCAAAAGACAGCAACAAAAAGCGTCGTACGGAAATGCATGCTTAATGGTTGTTTAAACTGAAACTGAACCATTTAGGATCAAACAAAGCCACTCCGAAAATAACTCATAAACGTTGGCAATCTTGTCTAACTTCAAAAAGTACCTTTATTCTCCTCATAATTTAATGTTTCACTGATAGATAAGATGCGCTGGACAGCTCTAACATCATCGCTCAACGATTACTCAAACAGGGAAGCCAGGAGGGTTAGAAGTAAAGTTCTTGTCTTAAGTGTCTGCGTCATATTAAACAAAACTCACTTTCATGCCAGCTTCACGAATGAGTCGAATGCAACGTGGTACATCACTGGTGGCTTCATAGTGAAAAGTATACTGCGATGCACCTGCAGATTTCATGCCATCGATCCACTATGGAGGAAAGTAATGAAATAATGGTTAAAAAATAATAAAATTTAACAATGAACGGTCCGACATTTTTGATGTCACTTGAAACACATTGAAGCCATTACACGTGCGAGGACTGAATGCAGGACCCCAAAATCAGATTGTGAGCATGCCACCCGTTTGTCTGTATGGTGGATGCTCAACTGTCCGACCCAACACCATTTCTTACCTAGTAGGGCCTTATATAGTTCACCACTCTCAGTACCGGGGTTTATGTTACCGGTTCCCATAAGTGAACAACGGGTCCTCTGATGTTCATCACACCAGGATGTGTGATTAAAGAAGATAAGACGGCTTTTATTGAGTTCAAGTTAGGAACGATGATATACACACGTCGAGTTATTGACGTTCCACTACAATTCAGATACCAGGATACGAAACTGAAGACTTCATTGTTTAGGATTTGAGTCCCGGTAGATATTTAGTTCTACAATAGGAATGTAACAGTATTTTTTTTAATTTTCACACACATCTGAGTTCAAACTACGTGCCAAACAGATCACGGTACAATAATTTTTATAAAAAAAGAAAAGCGGTCCAATGATTTGCTCGAGGGTACGATACTGCTAGGTTGCTCAAAGCAAAGCAGGTGAATGTAACAGTATAATTAGGTATCCGGTGGTCAAGCAGGCTACTTGTATTGTATCGTATTGTAATAACTTCTGTAGGCATAAAGCCTACATTTCAGTTAAAAATATACAGGTTGGAGAGAGGGAGAAAATTTTTAAAAAAATAATAAAAGAGATTTAAATCCCAAAACTGTTACCAAAGTCTGTGAAAACTTTGTTATTTGTTAACTATAGAATACGTGCTAATGAGGGTACTGTAGAGTTACGATCTATGTTTATTCCAGAGGGAACACAGCGGTATTGGGATCTAGTTGAAGAATGGGAACAGGAAGTTAAATCTGCGTGTAGCGGATGTGTGGAGTCGATAAGAATCTTATGTGCAAACTTTTCACATGCATTCAAGTGACGTTCGCACAGGTCAGTTACCAACTCCTCCAGCGGGATTGAAGAGACACGGCTAGTGATGGTCAGTCCACGTAGAAGCAGTTTAAAATCTTTCTTCAGGAGATTGGGGAAAATAGCAGGTGACCCATAAATCAAAACAGGGATACTGGTTCAGAGCCAATCGATACCGGTTCAGATGGGAAAGAAGGGCGTGGTAATGTAAAGATACATTCGAATCATTTAGAGGGGTTAAGAGATGGGCCAGATGTGGCAGAAAACTGTTGAACGTTAACTAAGTTGTCAGAAAATTGTGAAGGACCAGAAGCATCGGAGAGTGCCTGACATAAAACCACATCGTCAAGGTATTTAAAGAGAGAAGTTGGGACGCTAGCAGACAAATCACTATGCTTATGATTTCGCCGTTCATGTTCCCAGACGGTGCAGTAGATCTGCACTGCTGATGAAGACCATAGAGAAACGGTTGAACATTGCTTCTCAACTTTTAGTGAATGTTTTATGTATACCACAAACGACAAAATTCCTTCTACAATCGAATTAGATCTTGCATCTATATATACCTCGCAGCTCGTATTTCTTAAAATAATTAACACTGCATATTTTCAAGCTTTTGGCAAAAAAACAAGTTTTTTTTATGTTCATGGCATACCAGCTGTCCCGGTTATCCTTAGTGGCCAATACATATCACTGAACAAAGGTCATCCATCTCATCTCTAACTGGCCTGTTACGATGGATGGTCAAAATTGCCCAGAGAATTTGTCTATCTAACACACCTAAGACATCCACGAGAAACCCGACGAAATTACCTTTTCTGGTTCAGCGACCATCATATGAAGATCCAGAAACGTTTTGGAGGGAAGATGCGGCCTCAATGTGGCAACGACCGGGTGACCAATTGTCAGATTAGGAACAAAGTGTCCATCCATTACATCTAAATGCAAGTAATCAGCACCGGCATCCATCAGATTTGAGCAAACATCAGCCAAACGAGAAAGATCAGCATTAAGTATGGATGGACCAATAAGGATTGGTTTCTTGCAATGTCCCGATTGATGAGGCATTTCTATGAAGAAAAAATAGACCACTCAGTATGGGCACTAATGGTGGATATAGCAATCAGTTCTGAACATCCCGCGTCTGATCTCGAAACCAGAATGTTCAGGTGTCCAAATATGTGAGAGCACCACATAAAGATGCAGCGACAAGTGTATGCGTAATTATGAAAAATATCGTGAGAATGATAAAAGCGCACAATTTCAGTCCTATCAGCTAGGAATATTTGGGGTGAAGTTTCCACGCATAAGGAGAAATTATATACTAATAATGCTTATGAAGCACAGTGTAAGACAACCAAGAAAATAAAAAAAATCCATCAATGGTACCATGGAGTCCGTGTCCCTTTCTTTAGTCATCGAGGATGGTATCCAAAGCATACGCAGGAAACGACACCAAGTTATGTCTTTACTTAATATTAGTATCGCCTAAGAAACGACGAGTCGATCTTAAAAATGAGATTTTCTTATCACATATCAATCTACATCTTATGGGTGTCCTCACTCAAACAGGAGTAATCATCATCATCGCACAGTCAAATACAGTGAATCGAAATTTAATGACCGCCGCCAAGCTCCAAATACACACAAAGTGAGAAAGCACAAGATGAATAGGGTTTGGGTCTGAATGGAGGGAGGAAAAAAAAGTGAACCCCCTTTAGTCAACACATAGAGTGCACAACCTAAATGTGCATACATTACTTTTCAGGCATTCTGACCTGATAAGAAATCACAAGGAGAACGCCACTGCTGTCGATTAGCTAACACACCCTTCAGTGTCTTCAACCGACCAGTTACAGAGTATTTAGGATGCCAAATACACGACCTTTCAGTTTCAACGAAATATCACACCTGCACAAAAGGTGTTTCAGTCCTCCGTACTATGCTCGTGCCTTTGAACTGTGGACAGTTACTTATTTGACTACGCTACTGTTATCTGTCACGTAACTACCTAATTAGGAGGAACAGTCCACTATAACTAATTCTTGACCATAAAGCGTCAGAGCCGGAGTAGACGATACCAATCCTGTAGCATCACTTTAAAATTCGAAGGTGCAAAGCGCATACCAAACGGAGTTATAGAACGTGAAAGTCTGTTAAGAGCATTTTGCGCATCCCTCATACATTTGAACAAACAATGTCGTCAGCGTGCTGTAAACTGTTCAGCTTTTCTTCAGCTGCCCATTCAATACCAACATTTTGGAGACCACTCAGCACGATCTCTAGTACTTCGTCTATGACGAAATTGAACAAGAATGGTGAAATAGAGTGTCCATAGCAAACACTGCTCCTGGTCTTGAACGATTTGCTTAACCGACCATACACCCTGACGCTACCCTCACGAACCAAAAAATGAAATGAATAAGAAGATTTAATTAAGTTGTATGAGATGTGCAGCTGAACATGAAGGTTACAACCAACGTAAGTCAATGGTAAATTTTATACGCTACTTGACGCCGGGTCGATTTGTTGTATTGTATTGTGTTGAGGCTTTAGTGAGGTACATACAAGCTTTATGCCAAAAATAGACCACCGTTACAATTCTGGTCGTCCAATCGTCTTATTTCATTCTCGATCAGAAAAGATAGTCGTTGCACGTTCCTTTTCACGACGAAGACGTTTAAGAAAAGGTGTTATTGTTCTACCATGTTGAAGGAACAAAGTTATCACAGGACAGCATATGTCAAAAACAGTTGGACACTTCTGTTAGAAATGTCAAATTGGACAACCAGGTTGTGTTTAAAGGAAAACAGCTCGTAAATACCTTGAGAGCGATTGATAATGCCTCGAACTGCCAGACCGTGGAACACCCTCCCAATTTCTGTTTTTACCCGACTTCATCTTACACTTTCTAAATGCAGAATCAATAAACTGGATATTGCGTGAATGTTCCTCTACTCTCCCTTTTACAGCATGCTATTTGTCCATGGGGATTTCCCCTTTTACTGTAATTCACATTGTACATAATTGTGCAAGGAGTATCCTTAGTTGGTTCTCTTATTGCAAATGACAAAATATCGTGATTAGGGAAGGAAATTGGTTTGAATTAAGCGAAGCGAATCCATTAAATAAAAACCCCGTGGACAAAATTCGCTGCAAAGGGATAGTAATAACTTTTATGGATTCACATTTGTTTTATCCCGTTATTCACAGTAGGCGATGTTGAAAGTGAGTTTTTATATAACGTTATCACTTATTTACAGATGATTTACATAATCGAATTCTCGGCGGAGAACAACGTCGGCGCTGTCCACCGTTCTTGGATGGTAGGAGCTGACCGTGCACAGTGGCCCATAAAAACAATGTTCAATATGGTGGGATGCCACCACCAGCTCAAAATGCCATTCACACTGTGAAGGTACACAAAGGGCTGGGTTAGTCTATGATATCCCAATTTATATTTAAAGAACTTCAGAGGCTCGATACCTACTGGAAAACAGCCAGGTGTACTCCGCGGATGCAACGTTACCCATGAATCGTCATGGTAAGCGTCAACCGTAAGATTGAATACACTATAATCATGCAGCTTCAAGGAAACCAATTGTATTTTCCGATTTCAGTACGGAAAACAATGAGACCACCTTGTACGCTGGTGACTTGAATGGATCACCGCCTCCACATACACATACATAGGTGCGCTTATTTACTTGATAAGTGTTAACCAGAAAATGTCACAACAAATAAAGAAGCCATTGGAAATCCTCAAAAGCTTCCGACATGGTGAGGAAACTGCAGGATCCCAGCTAAATCTATGTCCCATTTCAATGATTTACGGGCGAAATTGGACGAAGATCAATGCCATATTGACATGGTACGTACAATTCTATTTATCTTATGGCCCTATAGGTTTAATACTTATCAAAAGCTGGCGGGGACTCACTCGGGCACTGTGTGAGGAATATATGTCGCCCGACGATCTGCGACAGTTTACATCCGTATAAACTGACAAGGAGCTTAAGGTGAAGCGGGTCTCTGTAACACAGTCACCCCCAAACTTATCTAGGGTAAGCGTCAATACAATACTCACGAAAAAAAAGATTCCATCAGGAAGCAAGGCGTGATGAGTGGGATCCAGATCAAATTAAAAGTACATCAGTGGATACAATGTACCAGATAGTCGGTGACTTCATCGTCAATAAGCTGCCCGTTTGCCGACAAAGATACTCAATTTCTTTGATAAGTGACGCTTAACTGTATAACGAATAAAGCATGAATACCATGCATTTATTTGCTTCTTCTTCGTTATACATGACCATATAAATGTGCGTTTACAGCTGATTGAGAGCACGCGAGATTGATGGCCAATATCAATTCTACCCACATACGTCTTCTTGTGTTGATAAACATGGATTTTTAATAATGCTTGGATTATACCTACATAGATGGTACCATTTTTGAATGAAAGGAAAACAGGCAATTAATGCAGACGGTGTGCTGACTACCGTGATCATAATACGCGAATTAGACGTGATACGGTGATTACCTATTGAGATTTGTACAAGGAAGCTCGCGGAAAAAAATTACTGACAGTCATCCGCCGGTTCATAAAAGTGCTGTTTGGTGATTGTGACGGGTACGCTCAACTGACTAAAGGGTGATACTCGTGCTGCTTAGGAACTGTTGTAACCCCTCTTGCGTAACGTTATGCAGAAAGTTGGCTTTTGTACAAGGGCAAACTTCCTGTTTCATCTTATATTTCGGCTTGAGTGGGCAAACCCGATTAATACCGTTTCACCATGCTCTGTTTTAGAATCGCTTCGAGGAAAAGAAAGCTGACACCTTTAAAGGACCTGGAACTTTTCGGTAACAGCCTGGAACCCGGGACTCAC